CTGAGTGAGTGTTCCTCCTGTCGTCCCTTTTCGTTTGACGAGCTGCTGCCTATCGCCCGACTAAAACATCAGAAGCATCTCACTCAGCTGCTGCTGCTGCTGTTGTTTCTGCTGGGCCTGTCTCATCAATTCACCGAGAGGTCCAGAGAGGGCTCAGAACTGACAGGAGACAGAAGAACTACTGCAGTGCTGTGCCCAAACGTGTGTGCCCAACAACAAGACAATTGAGTGGTGTGTGTGTGTGTGTGCAGGCCACTTCAAAAACAAACACGGAAATAATTAGAGCAGCAGAGAGATTTGAGAGTGCCTGAAGAGCAGCCAAAGACGCTGCTGCTGCTGCTGTTGCTGAACGAAACAACAGCAGAAACAAAGTAAAGCAAAAAGTCAAGCAAAAGTGCCAATCAAATTGGGAGCAACTCTCGCAGCGTGGTGCACTGTCCAATGACTGTGGAGCTGTGAAAAGTGTCAAACGACAAAATTCAAGCTCATCTCCAGTTCTGTTATGTAAGTCAGAGCAGTGAGCTGTGTGTGCCTATCTGTCAAACATTTCGGAGTGCAAGCAGCGCACACACACACAAACTGAAAAAGAAGAAAGACAGAATTTGGCATTCCAAAAAGTGCTGTCTTGATGGAAAGCAAAAAAGTGATGAAAATAGCAAACAGATGAAGATCGAATTACCAGCAAAGCTTGATGCTGAAAAGTGTAAGTTGCGACCACAGGAGAAAAAAATAGGCGAGCTGGTAAAAAAGTTGCGGTGATTTGCGATGTGCAGCCGCGTCGTGGCCTTAAAAGGCCAACACAAGACTGCTGTCACAGCAGACACTGACAGAGGGGACAAAAGTAGATGATCCTCAAAAACTTTGAACAGCAAAAGAAAGGAAGGAAGAAAAAAGTAGTGTTCATTTTCATTCACTATTTAAAGCTCTACCAGCACCACACATCAAATGATCTAAACACTTTGCGTTTGCCTTAATTAGCGGCAACGGCTGCTGTGCTGCGGCTGGTGCATCATCAGTTTGTCGCTCGGTGCAGTGCAGCAGCATGTTGTCAATAATTGTAAATCATCGCCGCTACACCGCTGACATAATTAGACAACAACTTGGCTGAAGGCAAAAGCAAAAGTAGGAAAGGGAGAGAGGGCTGAATTAGAGAAGACAAGTGTTGAAAGTTGAGAATGTACTTCAGAAAAAAAGGCACAGGCACTGACTGAGCCCAGTTCCTCTCCACTACTGTTTTCATGCTTTAATTTGCAAAAAACTAGCCGACACTTGCTGTTGGTTTGGTGCAGCGGTGGCAAATAGTGGGCACAAAATAAAACAACAAAAAATGGTAACTTACTTTGAAATAGTGAAAAAAGTTGAGTTAAAGGGGTGCTCAGTTACCCGTTGTTGTTGCCTGGTTTGTGGTGTGGTGTGGTTAACCGAGCTTGCAGGCGACTACAAGCAAGTACTCGTACTCGAATCCGTGCACCGAGGAGCGCTGGCCAAAGTAGTCATTGTAGACCTCATCAAAGAAGAGACTGTAGAATCGCAGTCGGCTGGACTCCTCCATGCACGAGCCGATGGGACACATCCACATGATGGCGCCTGAGGGATGAAAGTTGAGAAAGTTGAAGTTAGCAGAACAGCTTTTTCTTAGTTTGAACATCTTCCCCCCCCCCCAACACTTACTCTGCACAGTCTTGAGCGACTTCAGCTTGATGTGCGCGCTCACGTCGACAAACTCGGGTGAATCGGCAAAGCCAATCTGCGTGAACAGCGCATTCAGCTTCGTCTTCTCCTCGGCGCGATTCGGCTTTGTCAGCATCACCAGATTGCTGGCTCCTGAAGAAGGCAAGTAGTAGGCGGCAAATGGTGGTTAACAAAGGTTTATCATCAAAGAATTAAAGCGCTTACGCTGACTTCGCGTGAGAAGATCGGGAAAACACTTCAGAGCGATGCGCTTCTCAATTTCAAAGAGCTCCGACCAAAGTGAGATTGTGGCGCACAGTTGGCCATCTGGTGGTGGGGAAAGTAAGTATAAGAGATTTCGGAAACATGAAATCACAGTGTGATTTCAGTGATTCAACTTTTCAACTTTTAAAACAAAAAAAGAATACAAACCTGGCTTCAACAGCGAGGCAATGTTCCGCATGGCCACCTCAAAGTGGCCACCGTCGGCGCTGCGCAGCAGGTGAAAGGAGAAGATCAGATCGACAGAGCCGGGCCCCAGACTGGCGTCGCCCACGGACTGCACCGC